ACGGTTTGCTGTCATTAGCTGTCTGCGGTAAAATCGATGAACGTCCCAGGAACTGAGCGACGATGACGGCTAGTCAAATTAGTTGATGCACACGGAGATTCCTGGCCCTCTTTTATTTTCGATTAATTTGTGAGTACGAGAGAGAGGAGTGGTGTTAATCAAATGGATGATCAATGATTACTCGTTAAACGAATGAGTGGCAGACTGCTTTTTTTCCAATTCTGCTGCTGAGTCAAGGTCGAGTGCTCCACACCAAAATTGTAGACATAGTTTCTTCCAGGGCACGGTGGATACTCGTTCTAGATGGAGAAAACATTCTAAAACTTGAAGAGGTATGGCAAGAACAAATGATCATGAGAGAAAGATAAGAAGAAGTGGTTGCAATCGATTAGTAGCTGATCTTGTAACATGTCGATGATATCGCATCCGTCCTGTAAAACTGAATTCGTATTACATTGTATTGTAGTGTATTACAGACTTTTGTATGCAGATACGGCTACAATTCAGTTAAAGCCCTTCGTAAACACTGATAATTCATTTGTCTGGAGAAGTTTCAGACTCCGTGCGTTCCAAAAGGTTGGTTACTTTGATCCTGTCAAGCTACGGGATCGTGTTTGTCGCGCAACGTCTATCGTTTTCATGCATCCCTCCGTGAAAGTCTGAACGCTCGGTCCGACCAGCGATAGGTGTTCGTTTGTGCGGGCGGGCGTAGGCCCATGCATTCCAAAGTATGCAGACAAAACGAAGGTGGATTCGGTGTTTTATTGTACGCCTTACTTTAACAACATAAATCACGTAAAGCGGCATTTTGCCATTTCGAATTCGGATCAACATGTAAACAAACCTTGGGTAGTGGCATGGGCGATTTAAAAATAGGATGTACAAATCACATGTATTTCGAGCTACTCTTCGCAATACTTATCGACACACAGTAGCGGTAACAAGACATGGTTTGAAAGTTTTTTCTGCATGAGGATTCAGATAGGTGTAATTTTTTATGCATTCCATTGCACAAACAGAACCGAGAGGGGACACATCCTCAAGGTTGCAAAGAAATCACTCGGGTTAGACAACCGTTCGTTTAGCCTTTTCCCAACATAGTTTGTGAAGGCTTCTACATCTGGAAGTTTGATGCAATCAAGGAGATCGTAGTGAAATGCATCGTTGGGGGTTAAGAACATTCGCGAACAACATCACTAGCTGGAGGCGTCACTGGCAAAAGAGTTACAATTCATTCAGTGAAAGACTAGACGGAACTGGACCGAATCGAGCAGATCGAAACTTTGCTTCATTAGTGCAAGCAATTGCTGTCTGCACTGAGGTTAGAATGAAACTTTCAAATTAGAAGTTAATAGCCTGAGAATTTGAACGACACAGTGATCAGCTTGAGCTACATGTTACTCGGACTATACGGACGAAAGTTTGGGATCAGGTTATAAGAATTGACAGCAATCATTAAATAACGTAATCAGGTGAATTTATTTTCACACCACATGTAGCCAAGGTTACCGAAAAATTCACTGTACCGAGTGCACCAACAACTGAACAACAACAAAAACAACAGTGAACATGATAATAAAAATCTGTGAAACTAAAATTGTGCAAACAGTGCTTAATTTTAGGCAGTTTGACTAATTGACAAACAGCAGAATTCCTTTTATATCTCTCTGTAAGCACATCCCTGTTCATAGCAAGAATCGGTGGACGAGAAAGGAAGGCATACTTGAGCCATAATGTGAAGGATGACAGAACACGTTAAGTTAGTATTTGGGGAAAAATTTAAAATATTGGCGAGCCTAAATTATTTGCCGAATAGAACGAAGAAGATACCGGAAGATCCATGAACTTGTTGGCACAACGCAGGCCATATCAAAACGTCAAATGCTGCATCATCTGTGCAGTTGATTACAAGCTGATAATGAAAACACAAGCCTAACATATGAAAGAAAAACATACAGTGGGTTTCGTCATTTACAGAGCAAATGAAACGTGAACTAAAAAGCTAGCGAGCACATTGTGACTGTTTTCAACTGGTTGGGTCTCAACAGTACTGTGAATCCATCAACCCAATAGTGGACCAAATCATGGATCTCACAAGTAGAGCGCAAGCATACTAACCACTTGAGATAACATAACTACACAACATAGACAGAAAGAGAACACAAAAAGATGGAAGAACATGAAATAATTAATGAGGATTTAATCATTACATGCTGCACTCTTTGATGTGCTTCTCTTTACTTCCAAACGCATTAGGAGTATACAGAAAAGAAGTCAAGCAACTTGGTATTTTCAAGTTCCTCGTCCCCTTCTGAGCTCTCGACGATAGTCGGATGGCGTTGTTATCTCATCTGGCGTTTATGCTCTCTCCCCCCCCCCCTACCTCCCAATCATTGTTCTATCAGTTACTACTACTCAACCGTGAGTGAATTCGACCCCATGCATTAACTTCTTATAGTCCGGCAGTGTGATCGTGAGTTCTGATTAAAGTATGCAGTTCACTCCGAAATCATGAGTGGGTAGGTGGGGGGCAATGAGCACATCACAATGGCCATTTAATATACACTTATCACTGAAGCAAAAATCAAGCGAAATATGATAAATATTCGACAACTAATCAATGATCAGAATATTAATCAAGGATCTATTCTACTATAGGGTCAGTTCGCGAATTATGCGAATTATTTTGTCTCTCCAAAGCTGTGACCGTTCAATTCGTTCCAAAACCGATTACACGTTTTTGCCTACTGTTGACCCGTATAGCACGAAGCGCGTGGCTATCACTTCCCACTCTCCGTAAAAGTTAGCCCCAGGTTCAACTAGGGAACTAAAAGACTCGGTATTTCGATACCATGCTTGAACGGCTAAAAATTTTCTCGGGTCTATGGAACTGCGGTGAGATCAAGACTGCGAGTATGCCACTCCAATGAACGATACTGTACGACAATGTAACTGTGGGCTTCAGTTGTGTAAGCTGTTTGTATGTGCTGCGGCATCGGAATATGGAAAGGTGCTATTCCAATGAACTGTGATGTGATAAACGACGAAGTCAAAATATAGTAATTGTAGTGGTAGTAGTAGTAGTGTGAGATACTACTCACTCGTGGTTAGTACGCAAAAAGATGCGATCAGCGGTTTCTTTTAACGACCAAAAATGAGCAAACCTGTTGGAGAAAATCGCTGCTGTTCGGTATAGTGAACACAAAAATAATCATCTAATAGTGGATCGTTCCATGAACTATTCTATGTGCGTGCGGGAATTCTGCAAGCTTGTTCCAAATGAGATATTTTATTGTATGAATGACAATTCAACCATATTTCGAACGGTATTGGCAATAAACGACTATCCTCGACCGTCTTCAGAATTACAACAGTAGTAGTTGTACGCACTGAACTCGAAATGCGAATCACGCTATACGAATCACGGAACACGAATCAAGGGTTAGCAGTCACGGACTGGATCACGTAAGCACTAGACCGCACTGGCACTAGTACGCAATAGCCCACATAACTGAGACGCGAGGCAAAGGCCTCAGGAGTAGTAGTTTATTTATAGGAAGAAATAATGAGGATTAATTAATATTGTGATGGAAGGTAGTACAAAGAGAGAGGCTAGCGACCGAATCAAGAATGTGGCTCATCCGACCAGACGCGCAGACGCAGCGGCGGGAAGTCCCTGGCGAGACAATGTTGACTGCCACCCGAAACGAGCGAATCGACAATTACAGCCCGAAAGACAATCCGCAGCTAACGGGAAAGATACCCACCGAATGCCACAACGTCGGAGCTGTCGATCAACGCATCTCGCGCCGCGATCGGGTCAAACCAGTCGGAATGGCACGCGGAAGAAGAGGCAACGTACGTGCCACATGCGGACCAAAACCAACAAGGAATGACCCACAGAAAGAGGCATGAATCATCCCGCCCTGCGGTTGAGAATTGACTGTATATAGTCGAACGCATACCCTGTTTGTTTTAAAAATTGGATCAATAGACGTATTCCCCGCCAGTTCGCCTTCTCATTACAGAGGTGCCGTCGCCCAAGTCAACACAACTCAATCAAGCTACCCTCGCCAAACGCGTTTGCAGACGGAGATGTGGAGAAGTGGATTCGCGAGTTTCAATTAATCGCATCGTGCAACGGCATCAAAGGGAGTGCGCACGTGGTCACCGCATTGGGTGCACTGCTCACCGGACGAGCGAGGGCCGCTTACGACTTGAATTTGGAAAGCAACCAAGCCCTAGATTATGAGAATCTGAAAGCTGCATTGTTGGCAGAATTTTCAAAGGTGACCGCGAGAAGGCGATGAACCGGTTTTACGCTGCGGAGTACAACCGAACTGAGGACCTGTCGGTACACTACCAATAAATAAAGCGACAAATTTCCCTGGGCCTGCCGGAGGCGAATAACGAAACACGGGAGAGGCTTGCCAAAGACCGGTTCATACAAAGCATGCCGGCAGAGGTGAAAGACAAACCGAGACATGCGTTGGCGTGCGGAGTGAATGATGCAGAGGGCCTAATTTATATTGCGCAAGCCTGTCAAAATGATGACGTGGTTTTTCGGGTGGATGTTGCTGAAACTGAAGATAAGATTGAACAAATATTTGAAAAAATTGGGAGACTGAAGGAGGAATCGAAAGGCGGATCACAAGGAAGGAGAAGTTTCAGGGCTCAAGTTCGACCAAAGCGATGTTTCAGTTGCCACGGTATAGGACACCTTGCTCGTTTTTGCCCTAACCAGCACATTCGTCCGTGTTTTTCTGTTTTTAATCCGACTGCCCGGGGAGTTCCAAGGCATGAGGTTTTCAGTTTGGGACGGTCAAAGTTGGCTGTTATTGATACGGGTGCCGGGATTTCCATTTACCTCGGGTGGAAGGGGTCCCGGTAAAACCGTGCAATGTGAGCGTACGTGCGGTTGGAGGTATGCCACTCAGAGTCTTGGGTAAACAATGTGTCAGTGTGCGGATTGGTGGGTTGACCGTTACCCATGAGATGTTCTTGATCGAAGGTGTAAGTGAGGTTATAATCGGTGTCGATTTGCTTAAGCGCGTGGGTGCGAAGATCGATTTCGTAGGAGGTAAATTACTCGTGAGATCACAAGCACATGAATTACGCTCAGGAAGACAAACGCATTCTCTCGTCAGCGTTGTAAGGAAATCGGCCGTTCCAGAGTGTTCGATTCCATGTGTTAAGCTATGCGTTGAGAAGTATCCCGGATTGCTTTCTACTGCGGACGATGAGTATGGATTTTTTGATTGGTTGGAGCACAAAATAGAACTAAGGCCAAGAGCCGCGTGTAAACCAGTGTACCGAAGAATACCTCACAAGATACTGCCGGAGGTGGAGAAACAGGTACGCGATATGCTGTAAAAGGTATCATCCGTAAAAGTACCAGCCCGTACTCGTCACTGGTGCTGCTCACTAGAAAATCTGACGGTACTTACAGATTTTGTGTCGACTTTCGAGAACTGAATCGTGTAACCATAAAGGACGCCTTTCCGATGCCACTGACGGATGAGATATTTGAACGGCTCCACTCTGCACAGACACTGTCACTAATTGACTTGCGGTCTGGGTATTGGCAACTACCAGTAACAGCCAGCGACAGGGAGAAAACTGCATTTTGTGTCAAAGGGCAGCAATACAAATTCGTTCGGATGCCGTTTGGAATGTGCAGACGTCTGTTGCTACAAATATTGGAAAAATTGGACGGTGTTGTAGTGTACGGCGACGATATTGTAGTGTTCTCGAAGACACCAGAGGAACACGTGCATCGGCTGGAAGCACCGCTGGGGAGAATCAAAAATGCAGGGTTGAAACTCAGTGCAAAGAAATGCCAAATCGCTCGGGACACAATCACCTGATTGAGTCACATTGTCGACGGAAGTAAAATTAAACCGTTGCCCGAGAAGGCTGAAGCGATTCGAAATTTTTATCCCCCAAAGTCCAAACGCCAATAGCGGTCGTTTTTGGGATTAGAAGGATACGATGCAAAATTTGTACCGCCTTTCGCTGAAAAGGCTGCCCCCTTGCTACAGTTGGTGAGAAAGGACAGGAAGTTTGAGTGGACACCAGAGTTGGAGGTGGTCTTTCAAGAGCCAAAAACAATTACGTCTCCCGAGAGATGTCTGAAAATACCAAATCTCGTTGAAACCTTCACTGTGGCCGTCGATGCTAGCGATATTGGAATCGGAACAGTGTGGTCACAACCTTCCGGAGTAATTGAATATGCCAGCCGCCTGCTCACAGACGCCGAAAGGAAGTACTCGAACACTGAAAACCAGTGCCTTGCGATTGTATGAGCATTGGATAAATGGCGAATGTATTTGATTGCGAACATGTTCCACATCAAGGCAGACCACAAACCCTTGACTTGGTTGATGACGGCGCGCGACCTGAGAGGAAGACTGGCGCGATGGGCGTATCGTATTCAGGAATTTACGTTTACCATTGAACATGTTGATAGCAAAGATGACGGGATTGTCAACTTCCTGTCACGTCCGTTCCACGAGGAAGGTGTCCCATCGGAGGCCATCCCAGTTTCCCGGCTGGTTTCGAGCGATGTGGGAAGCGATGTCAGAAAGAAGACGACCTGGTGAGAACGATCTGTGAACATCTGCGGTCAGAAACGAAGCCGGAAGGAACTTCACCCGAAATAGGAGAATTAGTGAAGATCTGGGATCGCCTGCATTTGAACAATGAGACCTTGGTGGTTGAAGTGGACATGGAACGCGGACTGAGACCTAGGCGACTGCCATTCATCCCAACCGGCCTTCGCGAACGGGTGTTGAAGCTTTCACACGATGGAGCACACAAGGGACGGCAACGAGTTTTCGACTCATTACGACTTCGCCTTCTCCTTACAATATGTACAAATTACGTTTATTGGTTATCCTGGCTTCTACCGATCGCGTTTCAGTATTTTTTGCGTCGTTCTGCTTCTGTCTGGGCCGCACGGTCTCTGATTGGCCGGTACGATCTACCTGTTGCATGTAGTCAGAAGCAGTGACACGTACGCGCGTTGTTGACGTCACCCGCGACATTTGATTGATCGCTGTTGTCCAAAAACTAACGCGTCGCTCCGGGGTACGCGTCATCTCAGATCACCACAAAAAAATCGAATAGTGTGAGCATAGATCTTTATATTTCCTTTGCTGCCAATTAACGTAAACCATCCGCGGAGATTGTACCCCAGATTACAATCGGTCTTTTATCATGATTACACAGGCACTTACTTCCTTTCTGATATTAAACCAATAGTAACGAAAGATTTGCAACCCCAGTGGATTGAACCACTTCTCGCCACTCAATATCTCGCCCTAGTCTGTTGGTTTGATCAATAAAAAGGAGTTTGGGCCCATAGCAACTAATACAGAATCGGTCACTGAATCAAAAAACCATATGGAGCTTCTCCTCCTAGTTCACAATGTTTACCCCATAGTTTTTGTTGAGCAAGCCTCAGTTCAACTAACCTTACTCTGATTGACCAGCAGCATTCGGACGAGGCAATTTAGCCCTTCACTCTTTCGGTGAAAATTAGCCTGAATCGAGCGCCATCACGTGACGATGAACGGTCATATTTGATACTACCTAGAGATTATCATTCCTTTATGTCATTTGCTACTGCACAGCTGTCTGTATCTTCCGTTTCACTTCTATTTACAGGAAGCCGCCTCGTGTCTCTCGGAAAACCAGCATAAATGAAAAGCTGTTGCCTCTTATCCAACGGTACTGGACGTGGGTTTATGACATTACCTGAGGATAGGCACACGGCACACAGCTATTGCTCAATGTTCACCTGACAACACAGGCCACGATCGCGGTAACCCATTTTGATGCCTTTTTCAATAAAATTGCCGTATTCACTGCTATGCGGTGTATTCATGCATTTCGGGATTCGTTACATCAATTGTGAACCTTTTAGTATTGCCATGTCGGAATTAGATAGCAATTATTGACTGTCTGTAGTATTGGGAATAGTATTCCAAATGGGGTTCCAGAATACCAATCCCCGAAATAAAACAACTTCGAATCGAATAGCACACGAACTTTATTCGAATCGTATACTATGCATATTCAATGCATTTAAAGTGCACAAGGAATTTCGAGGTCAGTGTCACACATCACACTGTCCTGTAAAGTTCACTTATTACTCATGCAGGCCAGGACCGGATTCATATACAAAAGAAGCCATTTCTTTATGCATTTTATTATATATTATTATATTACATATATTGTTATATATTATATATATTATTATGTTGAATATATATTACCTATAGTATATATTATTATATATATTGTTATATATGGTGAACCACGTCTTAACCTTTTCATTTTTGCTGGTCTATACACACACAGACACACTTTCTTATCCCCTCTTAGTTTACCCTCCAAGAAACTCTTTCCCGTACCTCAAGTACAGAGGAAAGCCAATCTCCATGACCAGGCTGATGAGTCACCGATCGTGGAACACTGATTCTAAACTAAAGATATTGCGTTGTCGAACTAATCTCAGAACTACAAGATATAGAATTTAGTTTATTGATTCCATCCGAACAACAAACCCACAATGTTGTTACTATTCCACTAAGTTATATTGTCTCGTACTCAAATCCTGTGTTTGAGCCCCGTCAAATCCACACCCACCCTATTAGAGTACTCCAATTATTGAACCAACACGGTCATAGTCCAAACGAGAATCCACCACCAAAAATCGATCACCGTCTCACAAATGAGACAGTCGAACTCGACACCTACCTCACGAACCACATAACCACATACCTCATCGGGTTGTATGCTTTCAATCAATATTACCGCAAACGTTCGTCAATAAAAATAGATCATGCAATGATGTGATAGACACCGTCTCCATATTGTCAGATAAAAGCTTTGAACCAATAGTCATACTTAGCTACATGCTTGAAGAAAGTTAAATGAATGTTTTGTCAAACAGAAAGTCATCACACCATAGGGGAACAGACTCGGATTTGAAAAAGGCCAGTAGTGTAATGCAAGATGTCTGCTGCAGCGACATTTCTTTCGCATATCATCAGTTACTTCATGCGAATTACAATTGGACATTGTATATGTTCACGGGGTATGGTGACAAATAGATTTAAGGACGAGATTCATACTTGTTCACGAGACAGTGTAACTAGTTCATCAACACATATTTCTCCTAATTGGCATACAGATGAGTGGAAAATTGTTGGCAAATGGGTGAGAATGACGTGTCAATGTTGGTTCAAAGTTGGTTTAAAGCAAGACTCGTTGATCTGGCACACAAATATCAGAATACACCATT